GGTCTTCGGAGCGCCCCCGCCGCCAGCCCTGGTATAACTCTCCCGTGGCTGTGTGGGCAGAGCCGCGAAGGGGGCCAGGTGGCCGAAACCGCCAGCCCAGGGACGATGCGGAGAGCGGGCTTCATCTTGCCCTTCGCTGCAATGGCTGCCTGGCGGCGACCGAGCAACCCGACCCGCTGCGATCCGCTCCGCTGCGATGCGATCCTCTCCGATGCTCCTCTCCTCTCCTCTCTCCCCGGCGAGGTTGGTTCTCGTTTCACGGCCGCGACTCCCAGGAAGCTCGCTTACGACCTCAAACAAAGCATGCCCCGAATAAATGGGGTTGGGCAGTTCCGGAATGTGGGGCGGTGATTTTGGGATGCTGCAAACATCGCCCAGACGATCTGAGATGTATTAAGGGGCAACGCTCGTTAGATTCAGAGACGCACTTTTAGCAGTTAATGCATTACTCGAAGCCCTCCTTCACTGATGCCCGTTGAATTCAGGAGAGCCCTCCTCCAGCGACAGAAGCCATTCAGAAACACTGCTTCACCCATTCTTATTTATTGCGAGGGTGAAAAAAAAATTACTTTCCTTCAATCTTGGTTCTGAATATTTTAAACTACGCATTGAAGTGACGTTCGTCCTAAAATAATTCAAATTCTTGGATTCCCTTGCGTGCAAGGAACAGAAAGGTTCAAGGTGTACCATACCACTATTTGTAAAACAGAGTATTTGTCATATTTATCTGAAAGAGTAGCTTCCCTCCAAGTTTATTTTTGAAATAGGGTTAGGTATGCTGATAAGATGATAATGGAGACAAGTTTTTTCCCCCTGTTTCATCTTTTGGATATACTACATGTTAAATTGAGGAGTCTATTCTTTTTGGAGTAATTACAGGAACTAATTTAGTTCCAACAGATTTCTGAGTTTTGTGTTTGTGTGTATTTTTACAATGACACCTATTGGCATGTAATTTTATCTGTGTAAAAACAATTCGTTATTAGCCCTGTGCAAATCTTAAAGAGGTGCTTCACAGTGCACAACAGTACATATGAAGACCTGCCTTTAATCATTGAAACAGCTATGTCTTTTTTCAGTCTTATGTGGCTGCTTCATAAGTTGCCCTTCCCTGTCTGCATACAAGCCTCTTTGCTTATTTTTTAGCAGACTGCAGTCCTTGAGTTTGCACAGCTTTATTCCATATTTTATTTATTTCTTAAATTTATTCCATGTTTTACGAAGTATTGAAAACACAATTGTACTAATGTATAACTAATAGGAGAGAAATGATATTTCATCAACTAACAACTAATAGCATGTGTTCTCAGAAAATCCATGTCAGTTTAATACATCTGGAACTTGATTTCTATTTTTATTGTAAGCTGCTCAGAGTCACTCTAGAGTTGAGCGGCTTTAGAATCTCATAAAATAATATATAAAATAATGTTTAAAATATAACTGTTACTAATTCCATCAAATAGAAAAGAAATTGTGAGAAGACAAATATAGAATAATCAGAAGAGGATTGTGACTTTTGGGTTCTAACAATTACTATACCGGAATAGAAATATAGGTGGTCTGGCCTTCTAGCAACCAAAACAACAAATTGGACTGTAAAACTATGTTGTGCTCTTCCTAATTAAGAATTGTTTTTGTTGAACCCATTTCAATTAACAAGCTATGAATAGTTTTAAAGCAAAAACTGGTTGAAAAAGAATGGTTTATAATTGACTTACAGAATCTTGCTTGTTCACAGTGGCTTCCTGTGGTTAAATCCATATTTATGGTTTATTTCTAAGCCCCATGCAAGCAACATGCCAAGAAAGAAGCAGAAAACAAAAGTAACTTCTTCACTCCTAGCAGCATTTTAGTATTTAGGTCCCAGAGATTACATGCTAAGTGTTGATCTGCTATAGAGATAGGAATTGCCATTGGATTTCTCAAATTTGGTGATTCAGCAGAAGATCTAACATACATCCTAGAATGAAGCTACAGGCTTCTTTTGCTTTATGTGAAAATAAATAAATAAATTGCATTCACCACGGTCAATTTGTGGTGCCAAAGATCTGGAAACATGCAAGATTTCTCGAATATTTTCTGACTAAACCCCCTTTCTGCTCTCACTCATTTAGCCATAGTGATGTTTGGTTGTTCTAGTTTTCCATCCTCTTTCCCACTTATTCCATTCCTGCAGTAGCTATTACTGTAGTATTACCAAGGGGTCAAAATGTCCATCAACATCTTGTCCAACTTATCCAAAAGGTAAAGGATCTTTGTAACATTAGAAACAAGGTTGGATGTATTACATTGTGCCTTAAGCTGGTGAAAGATCCACAGCTCTAGGATGAGCTTTTAACCTGTGCAAATCTACTGTGAGCAATATAAGCCTCTGGAATGATCTTCCCCCCAAAGATTCATGTGGCTCCCACCCTGATGTCATTTAGGAAACTATTAAAGATCTGGCTGCCTTGGGAACAGGGTTATTGTGAAGCCTCCTTTTGTTTGTTCTGTTGGGTTTTGTTTTGAATACTTTGCTCTTCTGGTCAGTTGTATCTTTTATATATATACTGGTTCTTGTAAGCTGCGCAGAAACATTTGGGAGTCGGGCAGCCTGTAAATAAAATGAATAAATAATAAATAACAAAAAATGGTAATAAAATTTGTCGTGCTGTGATGCACTCTACCACTTTGTCTGCTGTGACAACCATGTGGATTAGAGATCCAGCTGTAGAAAATGCTTTCACTGTTAGAGAACACGAGTCGAGAAAGAAATCATGTTTGAGTAACGTACTGCTTAAGAATAAGGCTCTAAAACATATGAACACATTTGTGTTACAAATTTTAACACCATTTTGGGTTACACAATTTGACGCCATACCCCACAACCACTTTTTCTACTGGTTCAGTATCTCACTTTATGCAAATCTGCTTTATGCAAGGTTTTCATAAATATGAGGGAAGCTTGTATTTTGGCATGGATGTCTGAGAAAAACGGGGGATTTCCAGCACAGGAAGAGGGTAAATAAATTGAGGACAACATTCAGTGATCAAATGATCACGCATTAGATAAATGAGAGAGATATTCTTTATTACAGTAATTGACCAATTGACATAAAATAACAAAGCATATAAGATAAATAATAGAGCAATGAGTCATATTCTGACATTAACTTACCAGCACCTGCCAAATTTTATGAACTATGGCAAAATTTTACAAGGTACACATCTGTTGAAGAATAAATAATTGAAATAAAACAAATCTGAGTGGCCTTAGAATTTTATTATCAAAGGGGTTATGAGGTGAGAATGCATATCCCTTTAAAATTAGTAATGTAAAACAATGTGGGCTATGCTTTCAATAGCAACAGCGCAGCAAGGGCAAAGTCTAACTGCTTAGACCAGGTTGGTAATTAAACTGAAATGAAACTTGGAATATGTGGGTTGTTCCAGGTTTGGGCTGAAAAAAAAATCTGGAGGGATTTTAGGAAATGCTGGTGTGTGTTGCCCCTCCCTCTGTATGTCATGTGTGCTGACTGACCTGCAATCACGTTCAAGGCACTGGGAAGATGAGGAAGGCAGTGCAATTGGTATTCTGTGCTAGAATTCAAGGGCAGCTGTATACAGTGGTTAAGGTAAATCTTCCCTTGGTCACTGCCCTTGAATTCAAGCATGGCATATGCACCCTGCCCACCCACCCTTCCCTTAGTCACACTGCTACCAATAGTCTTGCTTTTCTTCCACATGTTTTGCTCTGGACACAGACCACCCAAAGTGCAAAAGCTGGACTGCTGCTCAATATTAAAAAAAAAGATTATGTCAATTGCTTATGCAAAGTAGAGAAGCAACTGAAGCAGTAACAGGCTTTATATTCCTAGGCTCAAAAATTCACAGCAATTGTAACCGTAGCCATGAAGTAGAGACATCTGCTATTCAGACTATGACAGTTCTAGACAAAATATTAAAGCACAGAGACCTCACACTGATAAGAAAAGTGTTGTCAAGACCATTTTTTCCCCATTTGTAAGACTGATGTGGAAGCTGGATTTCAGCAAGGCTGAATGAAGAAAAACATGTTCTTCTTACAGATAATGTGATAAGATAATTCTTACAAATAATTTGTCAGGTTCAGCCGGCACTGCACGCCTAGGAACTTGCCCAGCCGCGCTTTAGTCAATT